CTGTTGATTTCATTTCCCAGTCTGCACATGAAATATTCACGAGGACCGACCGCTGATGGAGCACCTGCTCTGTGCACTGCAGCGTTATTGCTGATCTTTGTAACAGTGCTGCAAGCTGGGCATTCGTACACCCACTTTACCATTTCAGGAAGATAAGTAAGTTGCCCGAGGCAATGCAATTAATATCCAACAAATTCCAAACTATCCATATATGAAGCCTGTGTGGTTTACCCTATGAATTTGAAATTCTATTAATTACTTTTCAGTGGACCCTTGACTTACAAACTCCACTCATTCCAAGGGCTGGTTGTAACTCAGATTGTCCACTGAAGGCTCACGCTCCTCTGCACAGGCTTCAAGGTCTCTCTCCTGTGCACAGGCAGATCTCAGTGTCCTTAGACATTACGTTTACCTCACACAGGAAAGGATACTGTAATGTTCCTTCCAGAACTCTTTAAGGATTAAATCTAAGTCGGAGACCATCTGGAAGCACACGTAGCTGACATTCAGGTCATAACTCAAGACTTTGGCTGTAAGTTAAACACAAAAATTCCAATCATAATCCAAGTTGTTCGTGTGTTAGGCCAGTCGCAACTCAAGGGTCTACGGTATTTCCCTTTAGTAGTCTCGTCTTAGCCATACCTCTTGTTTTTTTTTTTTTTTTTTTGTGCCTTTTTTCCCCCTAATAATTCTCTTGAAAAACTAAAATTGATTTTAAGTAACCACATTTTGGGCAACTGTTTTTTTTGTTGTTGTTACCAGGGATTGAACTCAGCACCTTGTGCCTGCAAGCCAAGCACAGTGCCACTAAGCTAAATCCTGTCACTGGGCAACTATTTTTTGACTAATTTCTCTGACCCTGATGGAGTTTTCATGCAGACTTTCAAATTATATGTAGCCTATTCTCATTCCTTTAAATAAGTATTAAAATTATTGTAAAATGGTATCCCTGTATTTCTTAGTGTTGAGAATCTTTTAAGTATCATTTGTTACATCTTGTTTTCAATCTTTATTGCATAATCATGTCAGATATTTGTCAGGTTTCATAGGAAGTTTCTTTGTCCATGGATTTCTCTATAGAAACAGAAATAAAAGAAAAAGACTACATCATGAGTCTGATTCCTGGTAGCCTTGCTAATTCTTTTTCTAAATGATAAAGCTGTGGAGTCGTGGTTTATCATCTGCGCCTGTGCTAGTTCATCCCCTTCAGAACAGAATCCTGCTGCTGTCTCATACTTTTATCAGACTGCGAGGTCCATCTGTATAAAGATGTCTTCATGTACAGATGTTTCTTTAATAATACAAAGATTTAAATGTTGCAAGGATAAAGAAATTGGAAACAATCAAAAACAGATCAACTGTTTTAGCAAGATGTATCTTAAGTTCCCCAGAGGTTGATAGTGTTTAAAAATTATAAATGAAGCAGTTAGTCCCTGTAGAATTAGGGAAATAGTAACAAACGATTTTAATCAGTTTTTAAAATTTAACATTCTTCCCTTCCACTGTCTTGGCTTTCTCAGCAGTTACAGCCCAGGGATATTTCATGGCGTATGTAAATGTACACCATCCTATGCCTTTCCACTTTACATCCAGGGATTATGGGATTTAGAAATTGGGTGTGACATAATTTTATGTAAAGTTAAATATTGTAAAATTACTATAATATGCTTAGCCTCTTTGATGGTGGAATGGGAACGGAATAGGTAGAATACGCTCACATCTATCACCAAACTCTGAAGCTGTATTTATCTGTCTCTGGACTCTCAACCAGCTTAGGATTAGCGCCAACTCCACCCACTCTATTTTTACATATAGGTATCATCTGATAATTTTATGCAGGTGATAGATGCTAAGTAAAAATTTACTAAGAGGATATTAAAGGAAAGCTTTGTTAGATGTTTTGTGTATAATACAATACATAACGGTAGAATTTTGTAATAGTTTGTTGACATGTCTTGGCTTTTCTTTAGTTTTATTTATTTATTTAAAAGTATATAGTTGAGAAATGTATGAATATATCTGCTTCAAATAAATTGCAATATTTCCAGGTTAACTGATCTATACTCAAAAATACTCTCTCTTCCAGGAGAAATCATTGTTACTAGCTTCATGTGTATTTTCTAGATTAGTGTTTATACACACAGTTATACAATATGTAGTTTTATTTTATATATGTTTTATGTAAATAATACAATATATATTATATATTGCTGATCATCTCTCAAGTAGGTTTTTCAAGGGCTTCTCATTTAACAACTATAGGCAACATATTTCCATCCATTTCTACCTCAGGCAAAGCTCTAAGAGTTGACATTTTTCCCTCTTATTATTTTGCTCATTAGCTCTCCCATGAATCTCATTTTCCAAGCTCTTCTTCTCCCATACAAGTCCTTTCCCTCTCAGTTTAAACTTAAATCAGCGTATGACTTATTACAATTGTATCCTCATCCTTGGCACCAAGCAGAAGACGAAAGACTGTTCAGTGAGAATAACTAAAATAACCAGCAGAGCCATGGGGAAACTATTTGGGGGCGCATGGAGCCTCCTTGAAGGGCCACTTTGTATGTTCTTGCTCATCTGTGAGGCCATAAAGTGTCTCCACCAAAGACTCATCTGAAAGGAGAAAGTGCACCTGTATAGTCACCTTGCATGTGATCATGGGACCACTTGTTAGAGTTCCAAATTAAGAGATGAAATTATGAGCTGAGCAAGTGTTCGGAAGCATTTACAACATTTCCAAGTAAAAAGCAGGCACCATATATATATAATTTTTTTTTGAATGTGTAAAAGCACATAGCACCTCTGCTGCTGTCCCGTGGTGGTGCTGACTGTATCATGGCCACAGAGCCCCTGGCCCTAAAACTACCAAAAAGTATTGTAGGACCAAAGAAGCTATCAAACCATAGCATGCGCATAGTCCAAAGGAAGAACTTCTGGGTCTCCTATCCCGAGGCCTCTGTCTTCTTTTTTAAAAACTAATTTTATTGGTATGATTTCAATATATATAACAATCATATTCATCAAAGGGAACTTGTACCTGTACATGGAATATCTTGATTCCTCTCTTTCTCCAGTCACTCCTCGTATCCCCAGGCCTTTGTCTTCTTCCGGATCCCAAGAATAAAACTAATTTTGACTTCCAGCTGTATATACCTTTGTAGTTTTCAAATTCATGATCTTGGTGCTGCTTCCTGGTTTGAAAACTGCATACTTATTGAGTATTAGGCACAATACTCACCGTTTTGTATACTTGCTGTTTAGTGAACCTGAAAGATTCAATAAGCTAAGTATCAGGATGCTCATTTCATGGGTGAAACCATCAGGGTACAATGTCATCTAACACAAGATGGTTGTTTCATCGTTCGCACCGAGATGGAGTTAACTCCAAAGTCGGTCTTTTCCACTGCACCCTATCTCCTCCCTTTTTTCAACCAGTGTGGTATTGATTATTTCACAAGTTTTCTAATAATCTTTTAGATTCTCAGTTTCAGTGGCTTTTTTAATGGAAAGTTTAAAAGATAAACTACAGAGTGTTCATAATTAGGTATGCTTTGCAAATATATTTTGCCATTTTAGAAATTCTTTCAGCCAAAATGCATTTAAACACACGCTGATAAAAATTTTCTTTTCACTAAAACATCTGCTAGCTTAAATAATGACCAATATTAAGAAGCCACTTAAATAATCAAGTCTGTTCACTAACTTGTTTCTCATTCCCAAATTTTTGCTATAATAAAAGCCCTGGGTTCCTCTGGATCGTTACATAAAGTATCTCTGTGTGTTTAACACTCTCGGAGGGTTTAGAGGAGACACTAGAACTTTCTCCAGGTCTCCAGTTACAAGTTTATTTTTAATATAATGCATTCACATGGTTTAGCTTTGTAGCATTTTTTATTTTTGCAAAACTGCTATTACTACAAACAATTTCATGTTAACACTTTTTACTAGGTGCAGTTTGTGTGTACATCTTATGTTATACTTAATAAAAATACAGACACCCTGGAATGACCTTTTTTATGTTTGCATTCTTAATATATTTACTATATATTAATACTTAAACTCACTGAAACCAAAGATTGATATTTTTGTCTTTTATTTCTTGCCTCAACTTGGCATTTTATTACAAGAAAATGGTATTTTGGGTTTGTTTGTTTGTTTGTTTGTTTGTTTGCTTTTTGAGACAGAATCTCACTATGTGGTTGAGACTGACCTGGAACTCACAATGTAGCCCAAACTGCTTTCGAACAGTGATCCTCCTGACTCAGCCTCCTGAGTGCTGGGATTATGGGCGTGCACCAGGATGCCTGGCTAAGAATTTTGAGTGAACAAAATGTCTTAAGGTTATCAAATGTATTTATACTTAACACACTGAATATGCGAAACTTAATCTTAACACTGAAAATCAACTTAATCGTTTGGCTTTTGACTGATGAATAACCTTTAAGCATGTTCACAAGGCAAGATACTCTGTTGTTTGCTGTGATTCATATTCACATGGTGAAGCTGTGTGAGTGATTTGGGGAAATTACTTATATATTTTAGCCTAGCAGGAGATGTATCATGGAGAATGCAAGACCTTAGCTTGTTTTATCCACAGAAACTCTTGAGTATTTGTGAGATGGTTTAGGTGTAGCATTCAATATGTACTTTGGTTGCTGTCTCAGAAATACTGACAAGATCTTCTATATGTGTGAATTTTTTGAACTGAAAAAAAATCTTCAAAGTAATGTTCTCAGCTGCTCAAACTATTAAGTGATTCATAATTTTCAAGACTCCACTCCCATGAAGTTCCTGGTTGTGACAAAGTCCATCATCACCTTTATGGCTCGTCTTTGTGTGCGTTTCACTTGTTTATCCAGCTGTACTAGTTGATTGCTAGTTATTCACCAATTTCCCCTACAGAACGCTTTTCTAATGGTTGAGACATTTTTCACAATAGTTTAAGTTCTTCTATGCCTAGAAATGTAAGTTAACAATGACATTTTCATTTTATTTTTTAGAGCATCAGGGCATCTGGCCTTATCCTGCTGGAAACAATCCTTTTTGGGTGTCTGCTACTATACTTTCCTGTAAGTAACATAATGTATTTTTTTAAATAATTATTCTTTTTGCTTTGCTTTGACAGTATTTTATGCACGTATACACACACCGTATTTTCACACTCATGCACCATACGTATTATAAAGCCCTTATTTATACACACATGCACACACAAGGGCTTTACAAATATCAAAGTCCTGTTACCATGTGTATGACCTTAGACAAGCTTCTTATCATTTCTAATGCTCAGTTTCTTCCTGTGAAAAGGGAACAAATTATATTTTCTTCCCAAGTTTGTCACGAAGAAACTTAAGGCAATGTATGAAAGGCATACTTGGTGCTCCTCCTTCCTCTCCTTTTATCTACACACCAAGTAGTTCAAGCTGGAAAACCCCGGTGGAAAAACAAACAGGAAGAAAAACCTACGTAATGAGAAATAATTGTAATGAAATGAATGTGTGCTTGCTCCTGTTGCCTCGGGTAGCCAGGTAGACTCAGTAACACACTAGTGCCTCCATCTGTAATCACAGGATAAGGACGGACCTTCCTAACCCAGTCCCCACCTTGTGTTCAGCAGCTATTATGTGCTAAGCACTATGGTTATTTCTGGAACTACTCTGTGAGCAAGAAAAACTTGATTCCTTCTCTTGAGAATTTTGCAGTTTATGTGAAAATGAGCCTAAATGCCAAGAGAGTAGTAAGAGTTTTACAAGACACTTAGGAAGGACACCTAACCAACTCCAGGGGAGAAGATGTGGAGAGTCAGGGATCTGGAAGATGGGTAGAAATTAGAGGAGAAGGTAGGGCTGCCAGGACATCGGCCCACTTCTCTTTCACCGCCTTAATTCTTGAGTGCTTCAGACTCTGTCCTCACAGTTTTTGTTGACTCTCATGTCTAACCTCAAAGTCCTAAATGCTGCTGTTTATATGACAGTACTGCTGCATTTATGCTTTCAACACAGACCTTTTCCCCAACTCCAGCTCATGTCCAACTGTTTAACTGAGACCGCCACAAGAAGGCCCGACAGAGTTTCCTGTCTGTCGTGCTCCTAGCCAAGGAACTGATTTCCACACTGATTTAGTCTCTGGATCTCTGCAGCTGCTCTGCTCTTCCCTTAACTCCGCCCAAAAGTCTGGGAGTCGTTTCTGACCCCATTCCTTTTCATACATCCATCAGAAAAGCTTTCAAACTAAAGCAAAGAGCCCAGCCGGTTCCCACCATGATTGCTGCTCCGCCTTGACTGAACCGGGATCTCTCTTCTGGATCATTCCCGCACGCTCTTACTGCCTCTGCTTTCCCTTACAGTCCACCTATTCTGTAAATACCAGCCAGTTTTCACACCAGAGTTAGACTGACAAGGTTCCTCCTCTTTACAGAACTCTTAAAAGTTCCTCATTTTGTTTATAATGAAAACTAAAATCTTCACAAAGGCTTCTAAATTAACCATGATTTGTACCCTGCTCCTTCTCTTATCTCACTGAATAATCCTCCCCCTTATCAATGTGTAGACCAAGCAGTCCTGATCTTCAGGCCTTAAATTACATTTTCTATTCCCTTTTAAAGTGAAAGTGTGTTTAGGTATGATTTATGCTATCATCTGAATCTGCCCCCCGAAACTCACATGCCATAAACTCAATCCTCACCCTGTAAGTCTCTGACGTGGAGCCTTTGGATATTGTTTAGGTCTTGAGGGCGTCCTCATCCATGGATTAACGCATCAGTAAAAGGAGTGAAGAGTTGGTCCCTTTTGCCCTCTGCTCTATCATCTGAAGATGCACTAGGAAGGCCCACACCAGATTCCCAGATGCTAGAAACTTGATCATGGTTTTTCCTGCCTCCAGACCATGAAAAGTAAAATTCTTTTCTTTATAAATTTCCCAGTCTCCAGTATTTTGTCATGGCAACCCAAATAGACCAAGACAATAAATTTTTATTTTTCCATAAGATCATCCATATTATTTACTTTTTATAATTTACTGGCCTGGGGCTACACATACTAATTAATAATAGAAGACACCCAAGAGTGTGGAGACTGTCTATTCTGCCTACATAAATGGCATGCCATGCATTGTAATGTTTAATCTTCCCCATACAATGATAAGGGAGGTATTTAACTAGGTCATAGAATCACCTAAAGGTAATGAAAGACCTGGGAAGACTTCAGTCTTCTGAAAAATAATCTTAATAAACAATATCAATTGCTGCCATTTCCCCTTGAATTTCTGCTTTTTTATTTCCATTTTCTACCCAATCACCAGAGAGATCTTTTTAAAACATCAAATCTAATGTATCACCTCTTTGGTGGTCTTCAGTGTTCTTATAATGAAACTTTTCACATGGTTCTGGATGTTAGATGCAAAGTGGTGCTTACCTACCTCTGTAACCTCATCTGATACCATTTTTCTAGTCACTTTCTGTTCTTCAGCTACCCTGACCTTCATTTAGTTCTCAAATAAACATAACCTGTCTCTCAAGGTGAACAGTTGGAGCAGTTTACAAGGAATTAGCTTGGTAGTAGAAGTCTAGGAACAATGACTCTGATTTCTATTGTTTTAGCATCTATAATTAGGCAACAGGACCCTTTTAATGCTATTTTATAGCATGCACAGAAATCAGTTCTTGTTACCTATAAGATGCACACTTATTCAAATCAAGTGGTCATACTAATGAGCTTTAGCCTATAATCTATAGAATTGTAAAGGCTGTTAGATAGAAGTACTTTTTGAGAGTAAAAAAAATTTTTTTTGGACAGGATTATCAGCCACTAAATATTCAAAGCAACCACTGAAGACCCTTTCAAGTATGAATGACAGGTATACTTCTTGATAATTCTAACATGTTTGGGAGGAGGAAACCAGGGGATAAGGCTTACCAAACAAATTCTACCTACCTAAACATTAGAAAGCTGACTTCATGTGTAACTATATGACTGTTTCATCATTTGTAACGTAAATTCTTTTTGGACCTTCTTGAGGCCCCAGTGTGTAGCTCCCAATTTTATGCTTGTGTACCTTGCCTTTTAATTAAGTTAGTGTTCATGCTCTGAAGACAGAAGGGGTCAGGTTATGAAGATTTGAATACAGCATAAGATATAGTGGGAAATAAGGTACTAAAATGTAGCATTAAGTCTAAAAAGGAGAGTAATTTCACTGTATATGTGAGATTGGAAAATGCAGGACTTTGGTTTTTTGTTTTTGAGACTGGGTCTCTCTTTGTAGTTCAGGCTGGTTTGAACTCAGACTGATCTCAGCTCACAGCTAGCTCCCACCTTAGTCTTCTGAGTGCTGGAATTATAGGCATGCACCATACCACCATGCCTGGCAAGAAAGTGCTGCTTTGGTGACTGATAGCAGAGTCTTTGGCTCTGTGGGAACACTGGGTGAGCTTGGGCACACAGACACGAGCATTCTTCACAGGAGAGGAACAAGCTGACCAGTGGCTCAGGGTGCACTGGCTTCCTTGGAAGCTACAAAAAGAAATTTGTAACTTTGGGCTAGAGTTTTGCTCTAAGAAAGACCAGTGTTAAATTCAATGTTCAGGCAATTAAGCAAACCAAATATAATTTGGATATCACTTATCTGAAATACCTGGGACTGACAGTGTTGCAGATTTTACAGTTGTTTGGATTTTGAAATATTTTCATAGACTTTACCAGTTAAGCACCCTCAGTCTGAATTCAAAACCTGAAACATTCTGGAATCCAAAACTAACTTTCAAAGCATTTTAGATTTTGGATTGGGGATGTTTACCTTGTGTAGCCAAAAGGTCTAATCACTTGATGGTGTAAGTGTGACTGGTACTCTTATTTGTTAAACATCCTGCCTGCTTTCTAAGTTACTGCTATAGGCTAAAGCAAAATTGCTCCTTCAAGTTTTACTGGATGTTACGGTTTTATAAAAACACATGCTTCAGTAAAGTAGAGTTGTTTTCAGGGCTGGAAACTCCATGGAAGGGAGCTTTGGGGATATGCACTATTCTACTGTGTTATGCAATGAGCTTTTTATTCTTCTTATGCTGCATATTGTTGTTCAGATTTGCAAGAATTAAAGTTATTTTTGCCTTTCTAAGCAATCTTAGGACTACAGACGATTTCATAACAATGCTTATATTGGGAAATCCAATTTAGAGATTATCATCATTGTGCAGATGAGGACAAACCAAAATCCAACCAAATTTAGCATTGTTATAATTGGGAGCAGAAAGCTGAAGCATTTAAAGAATTTTCTTACTGATTCTTTGAAGTCTCATTGGAAGTCTATACATTTGTGAACAAATTAGTGTTCACACTCCCCTAAAAGCTTTTATATAATTTGTAAAAGAAAAAAGAGCTTAAAAACAACCAGTGTGCATTTTTGTTGAATATGAGAGAAAAGACATGTATGAATTAATAAAGCATTATTGGCAGTATAAAATCCAGTTTATTTTGGTTTCACTAAAGCATAAGTTTCAGTTAATAGAGTAGGCTTTTTCCTCTAACTCTGGTTACTAGTTAGTAGTAGTTACTAATAAGAAGGGAATGGTTGACCAGTATACCTGTTCATAAAGAGTAAGACGTGTGAACAGGGTACTTATTTTCAGGTTGTTTTCCTCACCCCGCACCAAGTCCCATAAAAAAAGATTTGCAAAATAATAGAACTGGAAAAGAGGGCATCAGACACAAAGGTCTTTGGTCTTTGTTCTACATCTTCATTTTTCAAATGAAAGAAGAGAGGCTGAGAGAAGTTACCAGCAATTCAACTTTCTCTGCTGATTGGTAAGAAGCCAAGAGTAGCATCCAGTCTCTTAACTCCTGGTCTGCATCTCTCTTGACTGTGGTATTTTTCACAGAGTGTGTTTACGAGACTTTTAAATGGCATCAAACAGGGAGCCAGAGAGTCCTGTGTTCTGACCACGGGTCGTCCCTTTTCTCTGTTAGGTCTCCAGGGAAATGAAGGGCATGGAGGATGAAGGAGGGAATCCATTTATCAAGGTTTTATTGAAGTGGGTCATGGGTCCTGGAAAGGTTGTGTGCACCAAAGAAAGAGTTGG